AAAGAAAGAAAGAAAGAAAGAAAGAAAGAAAGAAAGAAAGAAAGAAAGAAAAATTCCTCATCTTCACAATCGTTTTCTCTACCGTCTATATTGCTTCCTGGGAAGGTTGGATTCCGCTGGAGGGGTAAAGGACTTGGCCTGGGGTTCTACCGAGGTCACGACTCCCCAGACCAATAAAGGACTTTGGAGAAGGGCCTAGCGACGGTGTTTGTAAAGCAAGTAACAGCTCCCAGCTCGAGCCTCGGGCAAAGGGCGGGTGCCACCTCCCCTCAAGGCTTCAGTTTCCGTCTGTGAAATGGGACCCCTGTCCACCCCGTCTCATGGGGAGGCTGTGAGGGCTACACGTGCTGGAAGTCCTATCTCTGACATGAATAGATATGGCGCTACATAGTTACTATCAGGGTATGTGTAATTGCCAAATCGGCCCTGCTCCACCACTTCCTAGGATCACCCCTCACCGCCTCGGTGCCACCGTGACGCCTCAGCCATGGCCGACCTGGAAAACGACACCCGTTTGACCTCCCAGGTCTGCCGCGCCTGCGCGTAACTTTTCGACACGCGCCACCTAGCTCCTGCGCCTGCGCAAACCCTCCCGCTTCTCCACCTGCGCAAGCCTTTCTACGAGTGACAAGCGCGCGTGCGCACCGAGGACGCTCTGGAAAGCGGCAGGCTGAGGCGGGGTTAGGAATTGCGGCGCTTTATCTCTGGCGGAGGGGCCGGCTTCTAGGGCAAATTTGGCTTCGGGCCTGGGGTTGGTGGTAAATGTCGTAGTAATTAATTGTAACGGGCTACTGTTTCTTGAACACCTTTTACATTTATTGGCTTGTTTAGTCTTCACATCCCCCCTTCCTGAAAGGTAGGTGTTTTATCCTCATTTTAGGTCTGGAAAAGCAGAGGCGCTGAGAGGGTCAGTGACTTACCGAAGTCCACAGGTGGCGGGGTCAGGTGTGCAGGACGCCAGAGCCCGAGTGCCTGACCAGGTGCCCACGCTGCCCCTGCTGCCTGCAGACACCGGTTCTCATGAACCGAGAGCTGCAGCTAGAAGTAGCTCCCACCCTTCTTCCCACCCAATATGGCTAAAGAAAATGATGAAATAGATTTAAACAAAATCCAGCTCTGAAGTCATGAGGGAGAGTAGGCCTAACAGGAGTCCTCGGGAGCCCAGACTCACATCTGGCACTGAAGCTTTGCAAAGATGGGAAGGTTTACAAACCAGCTATAGAAAAGACCAAAGAAATTTGGCTGTAAATTAAGGCATCCGAAAACCCGCCAGGATATGAGACAAGAGGGAGTCTCATGTTGGAAAAAAGGAAAATAAATTCAGTAGAAAGGCCCTAGGGCAGCCAGCAAAGAAAACCATCAGGCTGTTTTTGGAAATAAAAAATAAAGCTTCTTTTGTTATTTCTCTGAAAGAGATGTAGAGTGATGTTGATAAACGCTATTTTATGTGCAGATGAAAAGCAAAACGAGGCCACACAGCAACAAGGGTCAAAGACTACCAATAATAAACAGGAGAGGCCTAGCAAAAGGCCGTGGCCAGTGGATAGGAGGCCTGAGAAGAAAGGGCTAGTGTCCTAGCTTAAGGACAGTATAATAAAAGGATTTTCCCATTCCTGTACTTAGACTCTGAGATGCTCACAAAATTATGTTTTCTAATGTAATAGCTTATCTGAAGTTTAAATGTAGGAGGATCCCTACCCCCCCTCCTCAAATATAGGTATTGAAATTTACATGAGGTAAAAGAATTAAGCAGTTGAATCTGCAGACTATTCTTGTTCCATTGAACTCGGTAGACTCAGAGGTCTTGACGATTTAACGGATTTATTTGGTTAAAGCAGAATAACAATTTCAGGAGCGAGTCTGTCAGGATTTAAGTTACTGTGGTTGTTTCCTTATGAAATGGCAAACCATGGAATGCCTAGCTGAATTTCAGGAGGAATTGACTGAGCCGTAAATGAGCTTCATTAAGATACAGTTATAGAACATACTATTGTTGCTTTTCTGGAAATTGTTATTCTTAGGTTTTACATGATGTTGTATAATATATAAACACCAAAAGTTACAAAGATCTAGACTTTTGTGAAGAGAAGACAAGTCTATTTTGAATATTTGAAATTTTATTCTCTTTTGACATTAAGCTTTGGAACACTCAGATAATCTATACCATGTTAGTATTCCTCTAAGAGAAAACGGGTAAAACAGTATTTAGAAAGCAGAACCAGTAAACCTTATTGCAAGCATTAGATGTGCTTAAAAAGTTGATATTAATTCATAATCTGTAATTGTTAAATGTATATGACTTAAATGTTAAAATCTCACATTTTAAGATAGTCTTCTACAATTACAAACCCCTATGCCCAGATTTTCCTTAGGCTTCGCAAACCAGAAAAGATAGAATGTGTAAGAATGAAAGGATAAATATTATAAATATATATTAGTTATATTACCTAATTAAAGCCATAATCTGTTAATACAGCTATGGATTTATTTTAAATTTTAATTGAATATATTACTAATAGTGTAGTTGTTGTATTTCCAAATGTTGGTAACCTCATTAAAGTTCTTCACTTTCATAGAGTCCAGATTGAGCTGCCAGACGCTGAAATTCTCCTTCAGGGTTAAAAGCTTGTTTCACATCCAAACCTTTACCGTTAAGTGCTAAATATTTGCTGAAAGTTGGTCGAACACGTAACTGCTTAGGAGCCGGAAGAGTTTGCCTTTGATGGACTGAAATAGATCAAAATAGAAGTTGATTCAGAAAACATGTTCTAAACAAATGGGTTGCTCTAGGTATTCAATATCAGACAGGACAAGAAAAAAAAATCAGAACTGTTGGGGGAAAATCTCTCGTATTTTATACCAGACATTTTTATATTATGCTGAGATTGTGTTTCTTACTAAATCTTTCTGATTAAGTCCTTTATAACACTTGGGTTGATAGGGTGACATACCTGTAACATCTAATCTTGTGTTACATGTGGTCACTCCAGCTTCATTAACTGCAGACACAGTATACCACCCAGCATCTTTCTTGTTTACGTCTTTTATCAGTAAAGTGACTCTACCAGAGTTATCATGATATAAACTGGAAAGAAACAATAATAAAAAATTAAAGTATAAGAATTGATTTTCCTGTGAAAGTTTATTTATGATGTCTGTGACCTAGAGTGCCAGACTGTAAGAAAATGAAGTATTTGGAAATTCTGAGCTGTACCTAGTCAGTGCCATGTAGCATTGGTTTTATTGAATTTAACCTCCGCGGGCCCGAGGGGGGGGGGGGGGTGTCATCATTTCCTTGAGCCATCTTTCTTTATTGTTAGTAAAAAGGTAAGTCCTGGCCTACTTCATGCCTTATGTTTTTGATTAGTGGAATCTGGTGTAATGAGGTTTATTACATTTCTCTGCATGTTTTAAAAACCAGACAAAGTGAGATTACAAATGCATGCCATTTATAATGCATTTCAAGTACAACTGGATTCATCCCAATAAACTAGAGTTATGTCTAAAAATACTTATCCTACCTTATTCGATCAGTGTTGAATTGTACCATTTCATTATTTCTTTTCCAGAAAATCTTTGGTGGAGGTACAGCTGAGATTTGGCATTCTAGCTTCACTGAGTCTCCCTCAAAAACTTTTTTGCTTTGTGGTTTGTAGATAAACATTGGTGCTCTTCTATGTTCTTTTGCTACATATTAATAAAAAATTCAGGTATTTGAAATATTATAAAAAGAAAATAAGCCAAGCCAAGGTATTATGAAATTTGTATGTTGATACAAAAGTTTTAAAAAACACAAGATTGAAAGCTTATGTTTTAGCATTATTTTAAACAACAGAGTACTATTTTGCATTATTATACCATTTAGACTTCTAAAATAGTGTTGCATTGAATTTACAATCATGTTTCATCAAAGAATTTAAGTTATATTCTCATTTATGTCTCTTCTATAAGGAGGCAGCATGAATGGTGGCAAGACTAGACAGCCTATGTTCAAATTCTCTATTTGCCCCACCAGCCATGCCAAATGGGAAAGATTTGTTTAGTTTCTCTGAGGCTCAGTATTATCTATTGTAAAATAATTACAGGTATAGTGACTGCTCTGCCTACCACACAAAATTACTGTGAGGATCAGCTGAGATAATGAATGAAGCAGCATTTTGTAAACTGTAAAATAGTATATAAGTGTCAGTAATTATTACATCATTTCTTTAATTACCTGAAGGAAAAGAGGAAATGGTATCAGAATACTTAACCCTAGCTTTTCTGAAGGAGAAATGAAATTGGACAGATGCCTGCCAAGGCCTCTTTCAACTCTAGCATTAATAATATTTCTGGAGCTATTCGCACAAAAAGGATTTGCTCAAAGCTTAATCACTTGAATTGGATTTTTTTTTGATTCCCAGATTACTCGGTTTTCCCTTAGACTGAGGCCCATTATTATATCATAGAATAATCTTAAAGGGTTTTTCACTGATTTGAATAGAACACAAAATCAAGGATATTGTTCATCCTTTAACTTGATCAAGATTTTATGTAATCAGCAGTAAATTATGTCAAAGTATCTTTTCTGCAGTATGCCATGGCTTAAACCATTACAAATGTAATATATATTTAAACCACTTAAATTGTAATATTTTTAAGTAGTATATAAGTTTTATAAGAAACTGCCTTACTGAAGACAAATTTGAGACAGTTTAGCCATACCTGTTTTTGAAAGCAAGTAGGTGTGTTTTTGTTGTAAATAGAGACTAGTTTTCTATTAAACAACATCATCTGAGGCTAAAAGTTAACATTTATATCTCAGTTTTAAGTAATGTGTGATCATGGCAATGCTGGAAAAATAACAATCAGATTAATTTAGATGATAGATCAGAGAAGTGATTAGACTGAAGTTTTTCACTATAATATCCTTTAGTTACATCTAGAAATGGTTACATCTAGAAATGCTTATATAGTTGACTCTTGAACAGTGCAGGGCATTGGGGCACCCCTCCACCCCGCCGCCATGCAGTTGAAAGTCTGCACATAACTTTTGACTCCTGAAAAACTTAACTCCTAATAGCCTACTCTTAACTGGAAGCTTTACTGATAATATGAACAGTCGATTAACACATATTTTCTGTGTTATATGTATTATATACCGTATTCTTATGATGAAGTAAATTAGAGAAAAGAAAATGTTATTTAAAAAATCATAAGCAGGTGACAATACTGTGTTATAAAAAATCTGCATGTAAATGGACATGCACTGCTCAAACCTATGTTGAATTGAGAGTCAACTGTACTGCCTCATTTGGTTTGTCTAAAATTGCACTATTTCTTTATTTCCTTTTGTGAAAAGCTTTGGTTATAGTTCTCTTGTTGGAGTTTCCCTGAGTTTCTCTCAAAAATGCTGTCTGCTCCCTCTCCCACCTTGTGACTTTTAGATAAAAATTGGCATTCTCCTGGGTTGTGTAGACATTGACCTTAAATATGAAGTCCTGTGGGATTTTCCTTTTTAACACTTGCTTTTTTTTTTTTTTTTTAATACTGCTGGATTTTAAGGAACTCTTGAAGATCCCTCTGATGGCTTACCCAGGACATCCAGCTGCACAGTAAAGGTGGCTTCTCCTGCTCTGTTCTTGGCAACACATGCATAGGCCCCTGCATCTGAAGCTCTGACCACTTCAAAGATGAGTGAATGAAAACCCTTTTCAGACACTATCATTTTGTGCAAGTCATCTGATTGAACTGGTCTTCCATTCAGATACCATGACACATCAGGAGCTGGCAGTCCGCTGACCTGAAAAGGAAGACACAAGAAGGAGATGACAGAATTTTAAATTATATCATCACTGGTACCTATTTGTCCATTTACAACTTTTAACAATTCTAGTATCTGGGTGGGTTTGTGATTGACAGTGCAAAGCAAGAGCTTAAAAAGGTGTTTGCTTTCAACAATGTTTAACAAAACAGTAGAAATTAAACTCTCGAAATCAATGTAGTATTTTCAGACTACATCAAACCACATCTGGCTCTTTCGTATGCACCATGAGGCCCTGTAAGATGTCTCAGTTACTATATTTAGAACATAACTTACGTTATATAGGTCTCCCCAAGAAATATGAAGTGATACGGTTTTTTTGATAATGTGACTGCAGTTGAAGTCTCAGAGGGACATATGTGTGATGCTTGCTGATCTAATGGATGACTTTACCAAAGTAGAATGCTCTTGAGCTGTAATTCTGGTGTTTAAATTCCAGTTTAAGTGTTTTCTTATAAACCTTAACAATTAAATCTATACATGGACTTTCGTTCACAAGGAATCCAGAAAAACATTTTATAAGAAAAAGGTCTCCACAATGAGAACAATAAAAATGTAGGTCTTTCTAAAGATCACTTCTAGCATGAAGATCTCCTCTATGCCAGGTGAGCAGGTTGGCTTGAATTTCTTAATGGAGAATACTGCTTTAGAAATCTTATTGGTTTGATAGCTTCACTTATGTATTTATTAGGGGGTAGGTACTATTGTGAGTACATTATGTCTATTTACTCAGTTAATTCTCATAACAGCCTTATGAGGTACATTTGTTACTCTGCCATACAGATGAGACAAAAGCACAGGAAGGTTCAGTGACTTAGATTACATAGCTGGAAAGTGGCAAAGCCAGGATTCAAACCCAGGTAAGCTTGGTTCCAGAAGTTTTGTTCTTATCCACTATACGTGCTGCTTGTTAGAGTGTGTAACAGATTATGAAGAGGAAGAGGACACTTTTCAAAACAGTATCTTGTTGCTATTTTTCCTCCAATATTTTTACACTCTTACTTTGAAGTCCATTCTGCAGAATCTTCCTTCTTCAATTGACATGTTCTCTGGCACTTGAATGAAACGAGGTGGGTAAAATTTCTCCTGGATTGCATCCTGATCATTCACATCTCCCCTTGAGGATGATCTGCTTCTACAAAAATATTTTAATAATCACTATACAGGCAAGTTGTCATTGTTCTTCCTTTTGCACAAATATAGTTTAGCTATCATATTGGAACCGTCAGAGTCTATGCTATTTAATGTGTCAGTGTAATAACAATAGAGAGAGGCATATTTGAAGACTGTTAGAAATGGTAGCAATTTAGGAAGATCTGGTACAAAATATACATCTTATATCTTTTATACAATGCTACAAATTGATGAAGAAACTGATCTATTAAAATGGAGAGTACCCCATGGACAATTCTTATCATATGCAATGATTTGGTAATTAGAATTGGGTTTTGTTTGTCATGAGATATTTGCTTAACGTGGACATGTGGTCCTGGCTTATTTGACCAAAACATATTAGAAACTTCTTCTGAGATAGTACTGACAATTAACAGATAAAAGAAATTTTTTTACGTTTATTTTGAGAGACAGAGACTGCATGAATGGGGGTGGGGCAGACATGGAGAGAGAGAATCCTAAGCAGGCTCAGTGCTGCCAATGCAGAGCCCAATGCAAGGGTCGAACTTATGAAACTGTGGGATCATGACCTTAACCGATTGAGCCACCCAGGCACCCCTAACAGATAAAAATTTTGATCATCCTCTCGGACATTAGAAAAGTCACATTGTTTTTTATAAAAGGTATGTAGGAGGCTTGAAGTCTTTATAAATAATACAGTTTTAAGCTGAATATATTTTTGGTAGTAAAATAGATAGTTCTTTAAAAATAAAAAAAAATTTTGTACCTTACTTGTGATGTAGGAACTTGCAGTCGTGCGTGTTCTGAGTTGTGCTGTTTGAAATTAAAACAAGGTGAGAATGTTAATATGTGGTTACTAGCTTGAAATGAAGCAGAATTAAGTAGTCATAGCTGAAATGAACATTTCTTTGTTGGCTGTATTTGTGCCTTCATGGTTAATTCCATATACAGTTGATCCTTGAAATACACAGGTTTGAACTGCACAGGTTCACTTATATGTGGGTTTAAAAAAAATTTTTTTTAAGTTTATTCATTTTTGAGAGAGAGAGACAGAGCATGAGCAGGGGAGGGGCAGAGAGAAAGAGGGAGACACAGAATCCAAAGCAGGCTTCAGGCTCCAAGCTGTCAGCACAGAGCCCGAAGCAGGGCTAGAACTCCCGAACCATGAGATCATGACCCCAGCCGAAGTCAGACGCTTAACTGACTGAGCCACCCAGGAGCCCCTGTATATGGGTTTTTTTTTTTAAGATAAAACATACTACAGTACTTTAAATATATTTTCTCAGCATTTTTTTTCTAGCTTATTGTAAGAGTGTAGTATATAATACATATAGTGTACAAAATCTATGTTAATCTACTTATCAGCAAGGCTTCTGGTCAAAAGTAAGTTTTTAGTAGTTAAATTGTTGGAGAGTTAGAAGGTACAAGTGGATTTGAATTGTGTGTGGGGGGGCGGCACCCCTAACTCCTGCATTGTTCAAGGGTTAACTGTATTAGGTACTTACCGTATAGTGCACTAACTTTCTAATACTCTAGCAAGTAATCCCCTGAATTAATAGGACTATTTAACAGGTATGGTACATGAACATTAGCTAGACGTTGAATTCATGGTAGTTCATTTTTCATATGACTACTTTACAACAAAGGGAGATGTGTTCCCCTGGTGTATTTGAAATGGGAACACATGGTACAGATTGTCCTTTAGTAAAACAGGAATAGACATGAAGTCACTTGTGTTGGCAGTAGATACAAGGTATTATGCCCACTGCTCAAAAGTGCACCAACAGCAGTAAACACATATTAGACTGGAAAATGCTTCTCTTTTTAGCCATGGCACAAAATCATGACGGACACCATGGAAGCTACGTGTAGAGCTCTGAGAAGGTTTGAAAAACAACATTAATTACTTCCTGGTTAATAAAAGTTTATTTAATTTAAGCAAACATCTTTTAGGATTTATATCTGAGTACCAGAAAATTATTTCCATTTGAGAATAAAACCAGAGATTGATGGAAATCCTAATTAATTGATCAAATACTTAAAGCTTATTTTGTGTATTTCACTGTGCTTGGCACAGCAGGGGAGACAAGTGAAAAATCTCTCCCTATCCAAATATCTGAAAAACACCTATAATCTGAGTATACATTACTTATTTTGTGATGAATATGTTTAATGCATTTGGTCATTTTAAAATAAAATTCTTACAACTCTACACAGAATGTCAAAAGAACAATTCACTTATCAGATCAACTAGTTTTTTTGGTAAAAAGTGAAAATAATTTAATTAAACCCAAAATATCCAAATTAAATTGTTTGCTTTTTCATATAGTAATGATTTGAATATGTATATATTCATATTAAGAGGTGTAATATTTCAGTTTTATATAATTTGATAACATTTTTTATTGGAATGTTTTGAAGTATACACAAAAATCTAAGATTTATCTTTTCAGATTTCATAATATGTTTTGCTGCTATCTCTTTTCTTGGTACTGTTACCTTCATTTTAATGTTTTTAAAGAATGAATGAGAAAAATAATATAACATTGTTTTGAGTAATTTCTACTCATAGAGGTAGGTTTGCATCCTATTCTTGCTGTAATCTGTACCAGTCCAGAGTAGGTGCTCCATGTAAATTAATTGAATGAATGAATGTATGAACTGTTCATTAGCCAAAAAGAAGTTTAAGTTCTATTTTCAGTTTCTAGTTACTTGCACTGTTAGATCCTGCTCCATCCTTTTTAGTAGGTCTTGTTGCATTTAACAGAAACGAAAATCCTATTTTCAGTTTCCTGTACTTAGGATAGTGGAGTCTTGGGTACCCTCTTTCATCCCTTTGGTATCTAGTTTCTTGTGAACTTTTTGGGAAGAGATGAGAGGTAACTACAGAAGGAAGACAGGAGTAACCGTTCTGTCTCTCCAACTGAATATTTCTCTTTAGGGTTACATTTACGTGTTAGAATGAAGTTGATAAGCATATGGGATATTCACTTTGTGCCCTCTATAAGGTTTATACGTTCATGGAAAGGATCCTTTTGTTAATATCTGAGCCATTACTCCAGGCTTTTTGTTGTTGTTGTTTGTTTTCTTTTTAATAAGCATTTTTGAATACAGAAACAAAGGGATTGGATATTTCATTAGTTCCACAATTGTATTTTAAAACATTGAAATGATTAGGAGCTTATTATGAGAAAAGGTTATAATTACTTTGGTTTAGAGTTTTAACTTCTGTTAAAGATTTATAATTCATAAATTAGCCATGTGGACATTGGAAAAAGAATTCTAGGTGTAATGGACCCTTAAATGTCCACATGCAGAGTGACAGTGTTAACCTTTTGGTGTTTTGACTTTGTGACATTTCATATGCAGATATTAGAACACCAGAAAGTGGAGTAAAAATTTAAATTTCTCTCTATACATTTTGGCCCATCGTGGCCTCTCCTTTTTATATCTAATGGAGCATGGAAGTGATTGACTTTTGCTTCAAATGATACTTATTAGCATTTGGAAAAACAAACATTTAAAAATCACTCAAAAGAAAAATACTCCAGTTAGGTAAAGATTATTTTAATTTACCTGTGGTGAATCTTGTGCCTCACTGTCATTTTGTGCTTGAAACACAGCAGCTGCATTCTGTGGTCCTAGCAATCTGCGAGCCATCTTCTCCTCATATGTTAGCCGCTTTGAAGAAATCAATCATTAAGGAGAAAGTAACGAGATTTAATAAAAGTTGTTTGTGCACCTTTACCTTAAAACCACCAAGAATGCTACCAAAGAAGTATAGTTCTGTCTATTGAATTAGAGATAAATACTATGTTTTAAAACTTTTTTTCATTCAAAACATTTCCCTTCTGTTCTAGTGTCACTTTCACATCTGTAATATTCACTTCTGTTTTCCTC